TCTTGTTAAAGTAAGATTTCCAAGAGCATCAGGAATATTTCCACTCAGTTTGTTATTATTTAGGAACAATTCTTTCAAATTCGTCAATGTTGCCAATGATGTAGGAATCTGCCCACTAAATTGATTATTGCCCAAATACAAAAATTGTAAATTTGGCAGTTGCGATAGTGAATCAGGAATGGTTCCCGTTAGCGTATTATTACCAAAATCCAATTGATTTATGGTTTTTTGAAATTTGGCGGATCCAATCGTTGTAGGAATGGATCCCGATAATTGATTGATTCCCAACACTCTGTATTGGCAGATAATTATATATTATTAATGCTAGTTATAATTACAGTATTTTTCAACTGATAATCGCCATCGTAAAGAAATTTAAAAATTTTGCCACTTTTTAGGAATAAATTTTAATTGTCTAAAAGTTCCCAAGAGTCCCTCTGTTATATCTCGATTTTATGATATCGTAATAATGTCTGACGAAACGATTTTTGCAATGACGAAAGTTCGTCATGTTATTCGCCTGACGAAACTTATAACGAACTTTGGATATGTTGAGCATAAATTTTCTCGAAATTATTGTTACTCATTATAAATTTTCATTAATCTAGCCATTTTTATGATTGATAACGAGCTGCCAAATCATATAAAAAAAGTTGGATATACAAAAGCTCAAAAAAATAATCACTTATGTTTTATCAATCACTATAGATATCGTTATAGATTTCGTTATTCGTCATGGAATCAGAAGTAGATTGATGAAGGTTTCGTCATTCGTCAGGCATTATTAGTCTCTAATAGTATACTAAAACTAGCAGATCGCCGAGCCAAATAATGGCAAAATTCCTGTCGATAAAAAGGAATTTTGCTATTATTTTACTCAACTACTAGCTCTAGGATACTATTACTATCAAAATTTCGGATTTTTTTTTTTTTTTTTTTGTAATGGGTGATTATGGTGACTATAGTAAATTGAAAGCACAATAAATGCATAAAAGATTAATATCGTGACTTACAATGATTTTAAGGCAGAGAATTGCATCAAAGACGCTGGTATCATTCCGGTTAATGCGTTAGAACTCAACTCTCTAATAATAAATAAATTTGTTTATAGTGTTAATTATAGAGAAATTTTTTATCTAAAATATAGATTGAAACAAAGCAAAAAACATACAAAGTCTGTAGAGATTTTTGCAGTATGTTACTATTTCCAATGAAATCTGGAATAGTTCCTGAGATTCCCTGCCCGTTAATTATTAGATTATTAAGAGCAATTGACCCAATAGACGATGGTATAGTTTTACCAAGTTGTGGATTACTTTGTAATGATCTATAACAATAAATGTGTAAATAAATTAACCATAAAATTGAAATTACCATGGACGAATTATAAAATATATATCGCTTACAATGTCTTTAGAGCAGGCATTTTATCGAATGTGTCAGGTATAGGCCCTGAAAGCGATGTTGATGAAATTGTCAATGTGTTCATGTTCGGTAATTGGAACAAACTTGTAGGAATTGCTCCGTTTGGTATCGTTGTGCCTCCGTTAATGGTACTATTACAATGAATTATTGGTTTTAACTTTTATTGTTACGTATAAAATAATGGTGAAATATGGTGTATAATGATATTTACAGGCTTTGGAGAG